ATGAGTAGAACAAGCTTGTTATTGATTTAGCTAGATGAAAAACACAAAATTTACAGGTCAAAAAAAAAAACAAATGCCACACTTTGTCCTGGCTCTTCAAATGCTCCAGTTTCACCAGCTCATCATTTCCTGCTGTAAGGCAAATGAATATGGCATGAAAGAAAAAGAAAAGACGGAAACTCAACGCCACCGGAGGACTTTGGTGTCATTCCGCGGTCACAGCCAATGGATCGCAGCCAGGTCCCATGCGAACAGACAGAAATGAGCTGCATGTCTAAAGCGTGACATGGGCACTAATTGAACCATAATTTCCAACTCTCTGACTATAGCTTGTTAAACGTACAGACTTACAAAAATTACAGACTAATAAAAAGTTTCTGTTATTAAAATTGGACCTCAACTGCCCCCCAGACACCTTCAGTGCCAAGAGCCACACGTGGTTGTAAAAATTATTATAGCCCCCACCACCCATCCACCCTGAGCTCCTGGCACCTTCCCACCTCTCTGTCACACATCAGCAAACTTGCCCAGACAATAACCAGCCCACAGATAACTGAGCCCCCCTTCCAAATGTTTCTGGAGAACAATGCCTGTTAGGAGTATCAGCCCCTGGCAACCACTCTACCACAGTGCTATACAGGAAGCGGTTAATGTGTCACATGGTGTTGCGCGGCCTCAATACTGCCCGACAGCTTCCTGCAGTGCACAAGTGGTGGTGCGACCCATGCTGTGCCAAAATGAATAACGAAAGTCTCAACGGAGAGGCGAAGACACTTCACCTCTGTGTGAGCAGAGCAAATTAAAACATACAGCAAGTTTTGAAAGACTGCCTGAACCTTCACTCTACGAGTGTGTTTGAACATTGACCATTGTGTGGCTCAGAACCCGAATGCAAACAATACCAGGATATCTACTGAAACTTCACACAAAATGATCCACATGTGTAGAAAACTGACTTTATCTGCTGAAATCAGGATGCAGACAGACCCCAGGCTTTACAGTGGGTTCTTTCAATGTAGCATATTATCTTGAATCCAGAAGGTCACTTCTGTCTCAGATAGGTCAGTGCATATTCCAAGAAAAATGCTAAATTTCCCCAACTGGCTGTCCCCACTTGGGGACAGCGTGTGGCTCAGTGGGCTAAGCCTCTGTGGCTGTGATTGGAAGGTCATTGGTTCACATCTGTGGGTTCTTGAGCAAGACCGCTTATCCCCCAGCTCCCTGGGTGCTGCTGTGGCCCACTTGCTCTCACCTACAGAGAGTAAGAGTTGGTGGGGGGGGGGGGTTATTTCCTCATGGGGATCATATTAATTTCAATTCTGCAGGTTCAGCACATACACAATTATAAGTGCTGAGCTTAACCTTAAAACAGAGCAGAAGTTATGCATTTATTTATAATCTATGCAATACTTGTGCACACACGCCATTTCTTGTTTAATTCCCGCATGTTCCTTCTGCCATCTGGAACAAATAAGAATATAAAGAAAGCTTTGGGCACCTTTAAGGGCAACTATTCATTAAAATGCATGTGAATATTAAGCCCTCCTTTTCTTGTAAGAAAAAGAGAATAGATTTTACATTTGGTATGTTTAGTTAAGCCCAGTTACACAGTGCTCGATTCAATAAAAATCGAAATATGTAGAACATTTGTTCACAAAACATCTTCACATTGGTAACACTTAAGTACAAGGCAAGGTGTACAAGAACCATTGAAACACTTCAATTTCGCAACATTTTCATTATTCTGTTATAATGTTTGATCTTTAAAGCACCCCTTACAGTATTTACAAGTCTAGTACAGTACTAGACTTCAATTGATGACTAAATCTTGTGCGATAACAGAAAGGATTCTGATCTGTTTCACCTGCCTTGTCTGTGATGGATGATGGTAAGGTATGTTGTTCTGCAGTACTGGATGTCTCTGCAGTATGGTTGTCAACTGAACTTTTATCAGTGTGGGTCTACTTTGTGCTGATCAAGCGATGACGGTTTCCGCAGTATTCCACACCTTCAGTACGAACATTGGTCTGTCAGCAGGTTTAAGGATAACAGCAAGTTTTCAGCACCCATGCTCCTTAACCCTGATGTTTTCACCTTCCTGCAGAGGGCTTAGAGGTCTTATTGTCCTGTTATAGTACTTCCTTTAATCATGTTGTTTTTGCACTCGTTTTGTGTTTATTTTACTGTGGATGACAACAGTTGGCTAATGTTACTCGTGGGTATCTGGCAGGATGGAACGTAGGTGATGACTCATCAGCAACTGTGCAGGGGACTTAATGTTATCTACAGGAGTAAGAGACTCAAGTAAGGATCTATGCTTTTTCCAACATTGTTTTTGCAATTTAGTTCCGCCCCGATGCGCGCGCCACACACAGGTGAACACACTCCCAACAGCGGACAGAGAGCGCGCGTCGGAAAATATGTCGCGTCAACCACCTGAAAAGCAGACAAAAATATCTGCTCCCGTCAGCAGTATAAACTTCTCAACCACGAACAGGGTAGTAAATACGTTTCACAATGGGATTTTCTGCTTTAAACCATCACTACTTTAAGCTATCAGCTATGACTTTTAAAGCCTAACAGTTAATGTATTTGCAGGTAAAGAAACATCCGAATAGAAAAATCCTGCAAGGAGAGCATCTCGCAGCCTGCATGCGGATCTCAGTAAATGGGCCAGACGTTTCTGACTTCCCATATCAAGAGGCTCTAGAAA